ATTCCCAGCATCAGACAGTGGACTTGGTACATTCTTAAACGTTTCGCCGGCATCGTAGTCGGCATCATCATTGAGTTTTGTTATTTGCCGCTCCAAGCTACGAACTCATCAAAGAGATTACTGAAATTATTAAAACGACTTGGTTGTTGAATTTTGGCTGAAGTTTTAAATATGTTATGTATCTACCTTTGTCTATAACTATATTCCTAGTCTTTTATCGAATCTGTAGGGTTGCCGAGAAGCACTTCGATCGCGACTGTATGACCTCTTCGATTCCCAGAGAAGCTGCACCTGCTCAGTTCGTAAGTCACCGATTCTCCGCGTCCTCTGGAGCATTCGTGTGGACGCTGGCCTGGCCCACTTGGGACACTCAGTTGCTCTAGCCTCGCTTGCTAGACTATCGCACCTCCCCGGAGTTCATGTAGGTTAGCTCACGCACATCTTGCTAATGTTCTATAATTAGCATATAGTTTCCCAACCGCGTAAGCTCTTTATGATGGTATACCCATTAATAGGTTGATGGCTACGCCTAAGGGCCATCTTGTTCCGGGAAATTCTTGGTTTCATGAAGAAGGCTAAATTAGCTTTAGGATAAATCTAGGTATATTTTCATGCTTCTTATGAAAGATGATACAGATAATCAAAGCTCAATAGCCTTTGCCTCATAAAATTTGCTTTTAGCATACTTCGGAGGAGGGAGTCACAAATGATAGTGATCCATCTAACTAATTATCAACCACTATCACATCTCGTGTATGAAGTTAACATTATAAGTTTGGATATAATTTATTTTATTTTAATTTTTATAATACGACTTTTGCTGTGACTTGCAGATCATCATATTGATTGAAAATTTGGCTAGTTATTTACGTAATGGAGCTTCCCTTCTACCTTGGGAGCTGGTTTTACCGAGGGGTGATTTCTTTCTGCGCGTTATTTACTCTACATTTATGGCTCTGGGAGGCCTTGCCAATCAGGTCACTTGTCTTTTGGGAAGCCAATTCCAATTGGAAAGGTAAGAGCCAATATTTTTTAGTTTCATAGTTGTTAACTTTTATTATGGTACTGTAATCTCTAAAAAAATTGAATTTTTATCGAAAACGTCCAATATTTAACCATTTTTTCTCCTTACGATTGTCATGTAAGAAATAACTTGCTAAATCAAACAAACGCTAGATTCTAATCACCTGATTTATGTGGCTTAAACGTATTTAAACGGTGCTTCCTGCATTCATT